ACTGGCTGAGCGAGGTGCGGGCGCAACACTGAGGGTTGCGATCCCAACACCGAGGGTTGCAATCCCGTTGCCGGTCCCGGTCCGGTACGGGCGCGACACTGAGGGTTGCGATCCGTTGCCGGTCACGAAAAAAGACAAAAAGGAAAAAAAAAAAAATTGATGCACTTGAACAGAAACTAGGACATTGTCAAAGGTTATAGATATTTCAAAAGTAAATGAATGACGTTTCAATCAATGAACACTTTACTCTTTGTATTACCACCTGACATGGTACCAAATTTAATCTACTCCTGCACATTAAGTTCCATATTACACAGACTGAAGATGTCTGTCAGACCATGACTAGGTAAAAAATCTGGGTTCCAAACTAACAAAAGGGGAAATTTTAGTATAAGAATAGTGCTGACAAAATGCCAACTTCCAAATTCCCCAGATTTAATATTTGCTCATCTATAGCATATGCTTGTCTTCCCCTGGTTTCACTTAAGTTAATGGCCATTAGCCACAATTCTTGATTTATAGGACAAAACTTGGGGAAACAATCAAAATTAGGCCAATTACTATTACCCATGCCATGTCCATTTCTTTAAGTTAAGGTACACAAATTCAAGACCAGCCTCTGTTCTCTCCAGAAATAAAGTCCAACTCTCTTAATCCCTCCCAGCCACAAACACTGAAGTCTTATTTTGAATCTGGCAAAAATAATATCCTGATTTAAGGCTCCTTGCTTTATAAAAAGTAGAAACAAACAAAAAAAAAACTGTAAGGAAACTATTTCTCTTTAAAACACTAACATTGTTTTAAATAGTCCTCATTCCCCAAAGTTTTATTTTTAAGTTAGCTAGAGTCAGCTGAATTAAAGACAACTTGTGATCACAACTGTCTAGGAAGTATATCTCTTAAAAAATATGCGTATACAACTCATCACCAGGATTGTAAGGACCTCATATCAATTTCTTATAGTTCTTATACTAAGTCATTTTAGAGTTGAATAAATTTTAAATATTGATATGACAAGGTATAGACACCAAGTGATACTTTACCTAGGAAGCTAAGATTAAATAAAAGCTAGAGCAATCTTTCACCAGCCCCAAATAAGTATGAAGTGAGAAACTTAAAAGGGGAAAGGGTAAGGGCAAGAAAACCGTATTTATGGGAAAAGAAATGTGTGGATAAGGAATGGGTGAGTAAGACGGAATAACTGGTCAGGACCAGCCATTTACATTTGACAGTAGTACAGAAAGCTTACCAATATTAGTATTAAACTATTTTTAGGAGTAAAAAGTTATATAGGAAGGCTATTATGAGATGCACACAACTTTTCCTCTTAAAAGTTATTTGCCATTAACTATATTTAAACTTTTTTCCTTTCAAGGTACATGTCACCTGCTAAACTAGGAGAAGATATAGTTATTACAGCACATATTCTGAAGCAAGGAAAAACACTTGCGTTTGCCTCTGTGGATCTGACCAATAAGGCCACGGGAAAATTAATAGCACAAGGCAGACACACAAAGCACCTGGGAAACTGAGAGAACAGCAACCCAACAATGAATATCAAGTGTAAATCTAACTTGAACAAATGTAATTTTCAAAATAAATTCGCACAACCAGAAGTAGCCGAGAATCATTTGGGGAAAAGGATCTATAGACTAAGTAAGATAGAGTGAAGATGGGGGTGTCTATGTTTTTTCATTTTAAGTGTTTTCAGTTTTATTTTTAAAATATGTGTAAGTGAATGAAAAAATTCAAACTCAAAGTGTTTTGAAAACTTAGGTAAAACAAAGAAGAGCCATTCTAAAATTACTTAAAAACTGAAGTCCAATATTAAGCTAAAGTACAAATAGATATTAATGATTATTTTAGTCTGTTCAGGCTGCTATAACAAAATCTCATAGACTGGGTAGCTTATAAACAACAGAAATTTCTCCCAGTTCTGGAGGTTGGGAAGTCCAAGGTAAAGAAAGGTTCCAGTAGATTTTGCATCTGGTGAGGGTTGACAAATGGTGACTTCTCCAGGTGTCCTTACATGGTGTAAGGGGCAAGGGAGCTCTGGGGGTCTTTTATAAGGGCACTAATACCACTCATGAAAGCCTATGATCTGATCACCTCCCAAAGATCCCAACTGCATGGTGGTTAGGATTTCAACTCATTTTGAATTTTGGGGGGACACAAACTTCCAAACCAGAGCAATAGCCAATTATTAATGAATTTTAGGTCCTTCCCAGCTCTAAAATGACATGCTACATATTTTCATTTCCTTTTTATCCCAATTTTATTATGGAACTTCAAAAGAGATGAACCATAGCCCATACTGGAAAATAAGACAGATTGAGCCATATGGCCTAAAATAGTCCTCTAGAAAATTTGAGGCAAAGCACATTAGTGATACAGGAAATGGCCCAAACACTTTCCCTGATAATTTACTATAGGACTGTCATCTTTTATATTAAAGGGGGAGGACTAGCTGGTTAGCTCATTTGTTTAGAGTGTGGTGTCATAACACCAAGGTCAAGGGTTCAGATCCCTGTACTGGCAGGCCGCCAAAAAATATATATACGTATAGTAAGGAGGAAAAAAAAACATACTAAGCCTCTTTTCTAGTATTTAGAATAAATCATGCAGATTTTGAATCTCCCAGTCTACAGTACTGAAAAGGCTAAGTTCACAAATTATTCCATTTCTCAAAGGTATTAAAGTTCTGTTGACTATGGAACTCTTAATATGTGATTTCTACATCAGGCAGTCTTTTTTTTTTTCCTTTTTTTTTTGTCTTTTTTCATGTCCGGCAACGGATCGCAACCCTCAGTGTTGCGCCTGTACCGGACCGGGACCGGCAACGGGATCGCAACCCTCGGCGTTGCTCCCGCACCTCGCTCAGCCAGTGAGCGGGAACCGGTCTGTATGTGGGATCCGAACCCTCGGTGGGAACGCCTCCACACTCCCAAGCGGCGCAAACAGTGCGCCGCTGGGCCGGCCCCTACATCAGGCAGTCTTAATGAACATTTCATGACTACAGATTGAAAAAAAAAAAAACGAAGTTTTTTTTTTTTTTTTGTCCTTTTTTGTGACCACACTCAGCCAGTGAGTGCACCGGCCATCCCTATATAGGATCCGAACCCGCGGCGGGAGCGCCACTGCACTCCCAGCGCCACACTCTCCTGAGTGAGCTGCGGGGTCGGCCCAGTTTTAAGTAAATTTGGAAACACAGTCAACAGTTGAGTTAAACCTTGATTGTCCTCTGCCTATATTAGAATAGTCACTGATTGTCCACTGTAAGGACAGAAGTGGACTTTCTAGTAGCAATGAGCATCAGGCGACCTAGATCTCAATTGCTAGTATTTCCCACTAAAAAAAACTTGGGATCCTTGGAGAAATAGCTGAATCTGAAGGTAGAGGCTGGGACAGAAGTTACAAGATATTTTATGCCTAAAAGTAAGGGAGTGTTCAAGAAAATGATGAAGCATGCAAATTATGATGGGGCAGGGGAGGGGGACATCTTTGAGTCCATAGTGTTTACGCAGACAAGAGGACTCCTGTAACAGAATGCTAAAAGATGTGGAGGGAGGGGTATATTTGGAAAATGACCACTTTGCAACCATCATAGTAAATAAAAAGATTGGTTTGGTCTGACAAGAATCATCAGTGGGCTCTTGATAAAGGAGTAGGATAATTTGCATATTGGTTCCCAATTGCTAACAATAATTATATAGTTCAGAAACAAGACACCACCTTAACCCGGCAATCAAAATTAACATTAATAAAGAGCAGAGTGTTCACGTCTGGATATTAACTTGAGAAGGGCATAAGGTCAACCTAACCATGAACAAACATAATTCAAATGCAAAATGAAGGAACAGTTTATATGAAAAATGTGCCTGTATTCCAAAAACATCAAAGTCATGAAACTCAGAAAAGCTGAGAAACTTCCTGATTAAAGGAGACTAGGAACATGACAACTAAATGGAATGATCCTGTATCATAGGAAGATTTTTTTAAAAAACACTGTCAAGGATCAAAGATATTGAGACAATTAACAAAACTGGAATATGGACTGAAAAGTATAACATTCTCTAAGTTTGATAACTTTACAGTGGTTATATAAAATATCCTTGTACTTGGAACATATACCAAAGTACTAAGGGGTAAAGAATCAATGTATGCAACAAATTCTCAAAAAGTTCAAAAACATAGGGCCGGCCCATGGCTCACTCGGGAGAGTATATGGTGCTGATAACACCAAGGCCAGAGGTTCGGATCCTATATAGGGATGGCCGGTTAGTTCACTGGTTGAGCGTGGCACTGACAACACCAAGCCAAGGGTTAAGATCCCCTTACTGGTCATCTTTTGGGAAAAAAAAAAAAAAGTTCAAAAACATACATATATACGTACAAAGAGAATGAAAACAAATGTAGCAAAGTAATAACTAAATGTGGGTAAAGGTTTTACAAGAGTTCTGTATTTCTCTTGCAACTTTTCTAAACTATTTCAAAATAAAAACTTAAATGGCTGCTGAAATGCCTAACTTGTTGAAATTAAGTGTAATCAGTACAGTAAAATGGTTAAGACTTGGGCTCTAGAGCCCTCAGAGAGCCTGTTTTTAAATCCTTCACTACTTAGGATGTGAGCTTGGATGAGTTACTTAACCTCTGCATCTACTTCCACTCAGGGTTGTTAGATTAAGAGTTTAGGACTGTACCTGGCCATAAAAACACTCGAAGTGTTATTTCAAATAGATTCTAACTTTTAACTAATGAGAACATGTGAAAGCATTCTGAAATTATGAACAGTATTTCTTCCTTTTCCATGAAGCAAGGCATGAAGCTAGACACTAACTGTTGAAAGCTAACAAAATGTCCTTGATTCCTACTCTTCAAGTACCAAATCAAATTACCAAGTTTTTTCTTCTCAATTTGCTGTTTAGCCATGGACTAGAATCCTCCTAAAAGTGACCAGAAACATCTACCCAGTGACTTAAAAAAAAGTTACCACTTCGAGCTTTGTGTATTCACCTGAATAGTCAGGGAACTTTCACCTATTTTATTTAGGTTTTCATTTTTTCAAATTCCAACCAGAAGCTAAATACAATTGGAAACTCTTAAGCATTAGTTTTACTCCAGAGGAGTAGGATCATTCAGATTTACTCCAACAAAAGTATGCAACCCCTAAGCAAAGCTTTTCTTCATTTAAAAGAAAACAAAACTATACAGTAGTCTTTCCGTATGTTCATTGCACAAAATGAGTTCTGCTTTTAGATCTTTGACACTCAATGGTTATTTTTACAATTTTAAGATCCCAACTTTTACAACTTTTTTCTACTCCAAAAAACCGTAAGTTTTTCTTTAGGATCGTGTAGAAACCAGTATTTCTGCACAATTCACTGGAATTTTTTTCTTTGTAATAAAAATCTCTCCTCTTTAAAAACAAACAAACAAAAAAAAAAACCCCAAAAACCAAAAAGGAAAGTCCTCTACCTATCATGGTTTCTGCAGCTATAAATGTGTTCCTCAGATTTATAGCTGCTTTAGCTACTTCAGACTCCAGATCTGCTTTAATGTGTATAACTAAATCCACACTAAGCAGAATACTCTCATTAAGAGCAACTTGGGGAAAGAGATCTGGAAAAAAATATATATATATCTATATTTATGAGTACCAGGAAACAAACATGGCCCAGTAAAATGAGGCAAGAATGCCTACAATGAGATGCTTTTTTTCATTTACGATTTCTTTCCCATGGTTATATTTTCTTTTTTTAAACAACCATTCTGGTCATTAGAATGAATCTGACAGTGCTCCGGAACAACGGTGATTATAGCAAAGCTATTAAGTTTTAAAAAATGTTATTTATACCTGTTACATTCACTTCTCACCCTCTAAATACTGATGACAGATGTCAAAGAGGCAAAAACCAGCACAAATGGGAAGACCATCAAAAATGAGTATCACCTTGTGCTTTCAGATACATTTAAGCATTTCAGTGTACAATAGTCCTTTCATTTCACATTTTTAGTAAGATGCTGATGCAGTGCAGCAAATATGCAAAGCATCTTCTTTCACACAGTCCGTGCAGAAGACATCTAATTTTGTTTTTAAGTTCTGAGATACAAATGATTAAAAAAAATCCAGGATGAACAAGTTTCAAAATGCGTAGTGTTCTGTGCATGAGTCCATTTTCTTTAAACTCTAAAAGAACAAAGTAATAAGAAAACAAGAAAAAAACTGCTGCTGCATTCTCTGATCTCCATTTTGCTGGTCAGTACTCTATTCTGGCATATATGGACGGAGGTGATCCTCTATGGTGCCAACTGCCCAGTGGGTGAGCTGTTCCTGTGGCAGGTAGACGCAGATGCTGCATAACTTGAAGATCGTAGCTTTGTTTTTTGGAGTCTGGAGAGGGAAAATTTTTAATATTCTTAAGATTTTAACATAACTGTCCGTCACATGAAATGAATCTCCCACAATTTATAAGGTACCTATGGGCACAGTAACAAAGCATACACGGTTAAGGAATAAATTATGGTCCCTACCCAGTCTAGTTAGGAAGACAGAATCTTGCCATACAAGACACAGAAAAAACAGTAAAAATGATTGAAAACTAGTAATACTTAGAGAATTTATGCAGAATTAAAAGATAAAAAGAAAAGTCAACCAGAGATTACTTGCTAAAAAAAATTTTAAATCATCTATCTGAAGTAAGTTTATATATAGGAAGACAGAAAACAGATGTGACCAGAGTAGAAACTAGGGAGAAGATTAGAAATAGGTAGAGATTTAAACATATCATGGGGTAAGGGAGTAGTAAGAAAGCTAAAAAGCATTACCAGCTTTAAGAATTATTTTTAAAAAGTAGTTACTATTTGAACATCTCAGTTATGAATAACATGTGCTAGGTGCTTTCACAAACAACTGCTGCTAGTAAATGGGAGATAGAATCTGAATCCAGACCTGACTACAAAGTTCATCTTTTCACTATAGCACCTCTAAAAAAAAGGCAAAAGAAAAAAACTGGCTTTGCTGATGTCTGAAGTAGTCTATATATGTAAATGAACCTATGTTCATTTACATATACATATGTTCATTTTAAATGTCACAAGAAGTTTCTGTCATTTGTTAGATTTAACAGAAAGAGTATGACCTCAGAAGTTACTTGCCCAAGATCAGATAGCCAGCAAGTGGCTGCATCTATATTAGAATCAACCAATTCCAGACGTGTGTCTCTATACCACCTGCCCATCCAAAATTATCTTTTGGAGGGCTGGCCGGTTAGCTCAGTTGGTTAGAGCAAGGCAGTGTAACAACAAGGTCAAGGGTTTGGATCCCCACACGACTATTACCCCCTGCCCCGGCCAAAATCAAACTTTTCCTTTGGTCTAGCCCATATATATATACATGTATTTTTTGTGGCTGGCAGGCACAGGGATCAAACCCTGGACCTTGGTGTTATTAGTACCACACTCTAACCAACTGAGCTAGCCAGGCAGCCCCCTTACCATGTATCTTATATTATGATAAATAGCACAAGATCTCTGCGCTAAGTGATTCTTGACCAAGTTAGTTGTTTCCTTAGCAATAAAATGAGAGTAATAATATCTACAATTCAGAGGATTATTGTAAGGATTAAATGAGTCCACACATGTAAAGCTCTTAGTATAAAGCCTGACACACAATATACTATATGTGTTGACCACCATTGTATCAAGCACTAGTGGAGGTTGATTCTTCTATATAATACAAGCATGGCAACACATCTCCATCTCATGAAGATCAAGAACAGAACCTATGTGGAGGAAGGGGACTAAGAGCACCAAAGACCAAGTTCATCTACAACTAACTATTCCAGTTTGCCCGAGACTGATGGGTTTCAAGGACATGGAACTTTCACTGCTAAAACTGGGACATTCCAGGCAAACTGAGACTGTTGGTCACTCTACCTACAACCCAAATTTAGTTTATGAACTTACAAAAATTTTCTTTTCATTAAAAGGACTCAAGCTCTTTGCTTCTTAACCCACAGAAAAGATCTGCCCTTGATACATAACAATTTATACTATTTATACATACTATTTATATAACAACTTAAAGTCACTAGTTATTTCTATAAAGAATTAATGATCTCATAGTATATTCACATAAAAATGAAGTCTAATTTCTCTACCCTAGTATGCTATCATTGTTAAAGCTTCTATGACTAAAAAAATCGTATTGTGGATTCCATAATGTAAGTCAATAACCTTTAAAATTGGATAAAACTAGCACAATTGCCTGCTATACAGTACTTTCTCAACAAATAACTCAAAGGAAAGTATACAAGCAATTAAAAAGGAAAAAAGATCTACCTGAAGAGAGCTAAGAAACTGGAAAAAAACAAAACAAAAACCAAAAAAAAACCCCACGTAAGTTATATGTTTCTGTTTGGTTTTATCAAATGCCTCACCAAAATTAATTTTCTTCTGTAATTCCCAGTTCGCTTATTTGTACTTATACCATAATTAGTTTTCTACAAGATAGAAAGTAAATGGGTAGCAGTTCTATTGTGAAGCGCCTTTGTATTTTTTAGTATCTTGCACATATTCTCTCTTAAATAAAACTAAACATGTGGTCTATAATGTAACTAATATCATAACACTCTTTCTTTTGAGGTCTTTACTTAAATCACCTTCTCAGTGAGGCATTCTCTGGTGACACCGTGTAAGAATTCAAATCCCCAGCAGTTTATATCCCTCTACCCTGCTTTCTTTTTCTCTTAGGACTTATCACTAACTATGTAGTTATTTAGTTTAATGACAAATAAGCATATTTTACTTATTTACTCTTGGGTCTCCCACAATGGAATGTGAATCCATGAGGGCAAGAATATTTTTATATCTTGTTCATTACTGTACAATGCCTGGCACTGTGCAGGCACTCATTTGTTGAAATAAATGGTAACTAAATTAGGATGATGCTATTTTTTAAAGGTTAATAACTTATAACAAAGAAGCTATCATAAATTCTAAGTGATGATATTCAGGTTTAGGTTGATGAGTATGATATTTTATAGACTAAAAACTAAATTAGAATATCTAGACTGCTGATTAAATGGGAAGTGGCTTCAATGGATCTTTTAAATACTAATGTACCTCATTCCTTTAGATTTTTATTTAAAAGGTCTAGGTCAGTGCCTGTCAAAATATAATGTGCTATAAATCACCTGAGGATTTTGTTAAAAAATGCAGATTCTGATTATGTAGGACTGGAAGAAGGCCTGAGATTCTATTTTTTTTTTTTTTAAAGATGACGGGTAAGGGGATCTTAACCCTTGACTTGGTGTTGTCAGCACCAAGCTGTCAGTGAGCTAACCAGCTATCCCTATATAGGGATCCAAACCCATGGCCTTGGTGTTACCAGCACTGCACTCTCCTAAGTGAGCCACAGGCTGGCCCTTGAGATTCTACATTTTTAACAAGTTCCGAGGTGATGTTCACCTGTTGACCACACATCAGATAGAAAAGCTCTAGGATAGCTCTCACTGCTGTACACCAGAATCATGACTTTTCAAAGATCCTCAGATAGTTCTAATATGCAGCAGAGTTTGAGAACCATTATTTTAGGGCAGGGCCTAGGATATGTTTCCTGTTTTTAAAATAACTTCAAAAATAATGCAGTGTTGAAGGGGCAAAACAGAATTAAGTAACTTGTATAAAAAACAGTTTACTAACCAAAAACCTCACGTAAACCCTTACGTGGTTTTCAAAAAATGCTTACCTGCAAGTGCTGTCTGTCAATGAAGAGAAACACTGACTGGTTAGGATTGTTGACAACAATTCCAGTCTTGTCCTTGCGGCTCAGTACATGCAGAAACTGTTTTTCATAGTCACCGTGATGAAACTCAAATTTGGCCTAATTACAAAATACAAACATTTATATGTAACTACAAACATGTTACACTACCTGAACATCTACTACACCCACGCACATATTATCTGTGGTAATATGGTAGCCAATAGCCGCATGTGGCTACTTAAACTTAAATTAATTAAAATTAAATGCAATTTAAAATTCAGTTCTTCAGTAACACTAGCCACATTTCAAATGCTCAAGTCACATGTGACTGCTGGTCATCATTTTGAACAGTATCTTGAGATACAGAACATCATTTCCTTCATTGCAGGAAGTTATTTTGGATAGCACTCTATTACATAATTTGATTTTCAAGAAAAGCTTTGCACCAAAGTGACCAAATCCTAATATTCAATTAATAATTTTAAGCCAAATTTTATAAAACCATATTTTGAAACCTACTTGGCTCAAGACTCCACTTTAGGACTTTAAACCCCAATGATATCTCCCTCCTTTCAATTAGGAAGCACACTGTAATGGTTCTTGGGAAGATATCTGTTTATTCCAATCTCAGATTTAAATCTCACTAGTTATGTAAGGGATTTGCATAAACCACCTTTTCTAAACTTCGGCTTCCTCATCTATAAAATAAGGCTCTAACCCATTTCACAGGACAATTAAGAGATTAAATAAAATGTAAAGCCCGGGGCCAGCCTGTGGCTCACTCGGTAGAGTGCGGTGCTGATAACACCAAGGCCACGGGTTCGGATCCTATATAGGGATGGCCGGTTTGCTCACTGGCTGAGCGTGGTGCTGACAACACCAAGCCAAGGGTTGAGATCCCCTTACCGGTCATCTTTAAAAAAAAAAAAAAAAA